GAGTGCGTCTTTGCTTTGTGTTGCTCTCAATTCGATTTCGAAAATTCGCAGTTGACAACTTTAATTGTTCTGCATACGCAGCCGCTATTGAGTGCGCCTTGGTGCGCTTCTTTCGATTTCGAAATTCGTAACTTTTATTGTTCTGCCTTTCGCTTGCTCTCTTTCTGCTAGCATTGGCGTGCAAAAGAACGCAATCAATTTGCTCGCAGTGACGTCACTTTCAGACTTTCGCTTCACTTTTGCTGTAATCCGGTTTAACATAACATATTTGCGGGCAAGTTCATGACTTTGACTAGTTTTTTCTCTGCACTCGCTTTTGCTTGACTTTTATAAGGACCCACAGTAGACGCACTAGCGTTGTTGTTGCTTTCAAATATGGAGCAGGCATTGGCCAACAAATAACAAAACTGGTTCATATGAGCGATGTGGCGGCCGTTCGAAGAGGGGAACCAGCCCACTCTTGATCAGTCAATGGATAGTTTTATGCTGCCAGTTTTCAATTTCGCTGGCGTAAATCTGGTTTTTGTTTTGCGAATTAGTGTCAATAGCAAATGATGTAACGATGAACAATATAATCCAGTTGCTGTGGATATGGTCATTCCCCCATTAAGTCAATGTCTGCTGTTGCAGTTCATTTGATGCAAATTGAATTTCATCAACCACTCCTATTGATAATATTGTTAAGCTCATATTTGTGATAATATATTTGGCTAATGAAGTCATTGTCTTTTCTTGCAGCCGCCGCATCTGCATCCGCATCCTTTCCACAACGGCAATCGCCGTCAGCTGAATCTGCCGCAATTTAATCAACAGAACTTTTTGCAAGCCGGCGTGGAGCTGCCAATACCGCCACAGCATCAGCACCGCCAGCAACATCTCCACCATCATCACCACCAGCAGCAGCCACAGCACCACCAGCAGCAACATCGCTTCTCGCAGCCATACCCGCAACAACAGCAGCCGCAGCAACAAGTGCCACACCAACAGCAACACCAGCAGCAGCAGCAGCAGCAAACTCCTCACATTAATCAGCAGTTCCAGCGCTCCACACAAAATCAACTACAAACTGCCCCACAATATCCACAAGCGCCTCAGCAACAGCAACAGCAGCAGCAACAGTTGCCCTCAACTGCCAGCAATCTTGACCTGCATCATCAGAACTTTTTGGATTTGCGTAACTATGCCAGCTCGCAGCAACAGCAGCAGCAGCAACAGCAGCAGCCCCAGCGCCACAAGCAATTCCCCGATGCACGACTCCAATCGACAGCGTTTCCAGCGCAGGCTTATCAGCAGCAGCAACAGCAGCAGCAGCAGACATTGCCACAGCAGCAATTCGCTTACCAGCAACCCCAACAACTTGGCCAACAGACCACACAGAAGCTGCCCAGTCAGGCGCCCGTGCCCACCTTCCAGACATTGCAGCAATCGCCAGTGAACTATCAGCAACAGCAGCAGCCACAGCAGCAACTGCTGCAGCAACCACAGCAACAGCCGCAGCAGCAGCAGCAATATCCATTGACACCACAGCTCGGATTGCCCCTGCCGCAAATCTTTAACAATCTGCCTTCGACAGCTTTTCCCGCTCAGCCCTCGCGAGAGACTTATCTGCAGCAGCAGCAGCAGCAACAGCAGCAGCAGCTATTCCCCCCGCAACAACATCAGTTCATCAGCAACGGTCCGCAGGCCCAGCCCGCCGATCTGGAGTACAAGCAGAAGCTGATACAGAAGCACGAGCAGTTCGTGGCCAAGCAGTACGAGAAGTCGCAGCACAAGGTGCGCCAGCAGCACGAGGAGTTCCTCGCGAAGCAGCACGCCATCAAGCAGCATGTGCTGCCCACCATCATTAGCCAGCACAACAACTATCCACCGCAGCCGCAGTATGTGCAGCCGCCGCGTGGCCGACCCGTGGCCCATCCCACGGAGTACAGCCAGTTCAACAGCGCTCTGCAGCAGTACTACAAGGAGCATCCGACGACCACCACCACAACCACTACGACCACCACCACCACAGAGGCTAGCACCACGCCCAAGAAGAACATCTACTCCCAGGTGAAGGCGGAGCTGGGCAAGTACGGCCCCTCGAAACTGGGCAGCAAGAAGCCCGTGAAGACCATTGCCCGGGAGGATCTGCTGAAGCAGCTGAAGGCGGCCCTGTCTGAGGCGCCACAGCAGCCGCTGACCGGCAACAAGACCTACGATGAGATGGACCTGGTGCTGCCCAATGGCCAGCGTGTGCAGGTCATCCGCACCACAGACCCGAATCTCGTGCAGGGACAACAGGCGTATTCGCAGGATCAGCTGCAGGCGCTGCTGGCCCAGCAGGCGCTCGGCTCGGAGGCGAAGCTCAGCCTGAGCGATGTGGCGCCAAGCAAGAGCAAGGATCTGGTGCTGCCCGGCGGTGGCAAGGTGCAAATACTACGCTCACCCGACCCACAGGAATCGGACACGCTGCCCGCCCAGGCACTGCCCGGCGGCGTCGACCTATCCAGCCTGGCTGCCTTGTACGGCGGCGGAGCGGGCGACATCCAGGGCGTGACGAATGGCGCCAACAGCATTGCCAGCTCGGCGGTCATTACCTCCGACTCGGACAGCCCGCCCACGCTGGAGGAGCTGGCGAAGCGCGGCCTCATACCCGATGGCTATGAGATCGAGGGCTTGAGCTCGAACTCCGCCAAGGCCACGCCAGCACCGCCCACCGCGCCACCCAAGAAGAAGGCGACGTATGTGTACCTGGAGGAGCAGGCCGACGGCAGCTTCAAGATCCAGGGCGTCAAGGCCAACGGCGAGAAGGAGACGAAGCAAACGGGCGCCGAAGTGGAGAGCATTCTAGAGCGCATTCGCAGCGGAGAGATCAAGCTGCCTCCGTCCGTCTACCGCTTGACGCTGCCCAACGATGAGGTTGTGGAGATCAAGAGCGGCAAGATTATACAGACGACCACCACGACAACCACTCGCCCACCACCGACCACAACCACTGCCAGAATCTATACGACGACCTCCACTACGCCAGCGCCGTTCGCCTCGAGGAACGTGCCCAGCAACCATCGCCAGTATCATCCGTCACGCACATCCACCACCAGCACCACCACCACTACCACCAGCAGCCCACCCACTAGCACCACTAGCAGCACCAACACGCCCTATACGCCCCGCTACACGGGCGTCTACGAGAGCAGCAGCACGGCCAGCGTCGCTGCCGCCGCCGCCGCCAGCTTGATCCGCACCACACCCGGACCCATTTATCACTCCTCACCAATCACTCAGCCGCCCTACCCGGGCGGCGCCTCCACCCATCTGCCAGTGGTAACTGAGCGTCTGTCGGACATTGCGCAGACGCCGGAGCAACAGACGCCAGCACAATACGCCGATGCCCTGGTGCAGGAGACGGAGAACACAGAGAAGGCGGCCTCCACGGGCGGTGCATCGGTGCTCTCGAATCCCAGTGAGGATCTGCTGCAGATACTCAAGAGCAATGGCCTGTTCGCTATGGCCAAATATCTGCGCCAGAGTGGCCTGGACAGCATACTCAACGAAACGGGTCCCTATACAATCTTTGTGCCCACGGACAAGGCCTTCAAGAACCTGCTCGTCCAGCTCGGTGGACCCGAGCGCGCCGAGGAGAAGTTCCAGTCGAATCCACGACTGTTGAGTGGTGTAAGTGGTGCTTCCTAGTCTCGACTCTCAGTGTACTCACATGGATTTCTCTTTGCAGCTGCTGTTGCATCATGTCATTCCCGGCGCCTTCGAGATTGCCACCTTGCAGGACGAGATGACCGGCGTGTCCTTGGCGGGCACACAGCTGCGCGTCAATCAGTATAATATGCACGACCAGGAGTGGAATGATGTCACTGTAAGCCCCAATTTGGATACTGAATTTGTGAATGAATGCACCGAGTGGATCTGACAGTCATCATTGGGATTAACTGGGAGTTCGAAGAGCACACAGTTGGGATTGTCTGATTGAGTCGGTTGCCGATCACTGGGAGTAACAGATTGAGAGCACGTCTCAGTGGGAGAGAAAGGGAGTCAGTCGGCGCACTGACTGATTGCCAGATTGACGGTCAGGTTGACTG